GCTACAATAGGGTATAACCAGTATTATCAGGCTACAATAGGGTATAACCAGTATTATCAGGCTACAATAGGGTATAACCAGTATTATCAGGCTACAATAGGGTATAACCAGTATTATCAGGCTACAATAGGGTATAACCAGTATTATCAGGCTACAATAGGGTATAACCAGTATTATCAGGCTACAGAAATTGGAACCAAAATAATTTAAGACAAAGTTGTATAAATATTTCTATGTTAAATAACATGTCCAAATACGGCCAAATGCGTTTTCCTGTGCCTTACCTTTCTACACCTACATGTGTTTGGTTTGTAATAACTCAAAAAGAATAATATCAGGATTCAAGCACTCTCCAGATCAGAAGTCAATTAGTTTATTTACATAAAACCAATGCAATAATTATGACTTCACAAATCACACGTTAAGCTATTACGACTACAATATCTTCACCTGGCTGAAACAGTTCTGAAAAGAACGAAGATTTCACGCTACACATCATCAACGTTTCTGTTGATTACTAACATAAAGGAAACGTGTCTGGTTATATACTCAATCACTATAGTGTGTATTTTATCAAAGTTACTCGGGATTTCAAGAATAGAAACACACAATGCCTTATTTTTCTTCTTACAAATTAAATATTTATGAAATATAAAGCTGAAAGCGATTCATGAAACACCAGTTTCTGCTAACGGAACTTGCTGCTCGAAGGTCTTTAAAATAGCCTTTAGTAAGAATTGAGGATGATAAGAATTTCTAGTATACGCACAGTTTGTAATGTAAAAAATAAATCAGGGATAAGCAAATTACTGTAATATATTTTCAAGAATTAAATTATAGTTCCGAAATAATTAATGAGAATAAAATATTCGAAATTATATTATAACAATTTGTTGTTCCATCATTTCTGAACCGAGCGCGACATATGTTTAGCGTGCCAAGACTGAGAATCCAAAGATTTATGGTTGGCGTAACGTTTGGGACTGTGAGTGACTACCAAATCCCACTACACTATAAATCTGGTGTTATGTGTGTGAAAACGTTAGAACATATTCGTTGGTAATAATTTGAAGAAGATGTGTTCTATTTGAGTACATGCTATCGTCGTGAACATCTAAAACACATTATGGTAGAGGCTAACACTAGATCAGTTCGATGTTAGAACATGAATATATATATATATATAGGTGTGTAACATCAATCTAATCACTTATAGCGTCTGGACTTTTATCTGTTTTCATTAACTTATGCACATTAAATTGAGGTAAACTCACATTCAGAACTACATGTAGCTAAAATATAAATTAAAAAATCAAGATTTTACTTGTAATACACTACACAGTTTTAAGAAAGATGTAAACTTAAAATTAAGCAAAACTCCTTTGAATATAAATGTCAAGATGATAATGAGAACATTTTGAGGTTGAAACAATCACACTCCCAAATACCTGAGCTACTAAGAAATATAAGTAAATTGTTGCTAAAGCAGAATTATTTACAAACCTTTAACTTTATTGTCATACATTTGCTGACATGATGAAAATGTTAAGAATTAAAAACAGGTTTTCATTGAAAGAAAATATGATGTTTAAGTTTTGAACAAACCTTTGAATGCGTGTATTGTGATACTTACAATTCAATGCGTGTATTGTGATACCTAAAATTCAATGCGTATATTGTGATACCTAAAATTCAATGCGTATATTGTGCTACCTAAAACTCAATGCGTGTATTTTTGATACATACAATTCAATGCGTGTATTGTGATACCTAAAATTCAATGCGTGTATTGTGATACCTAAAATTCAATGCGTGTATTGTGATACCTAAAATTCAATGTGTGTGTTGTGATACCTAAAATT